TGTGATAGATGGTTACAAGATCAACCTTCCTTTCCTAGAACATTGAAACTCAATTGAATGATTCTCAAGGCCATAATTCGCATAAGTAAGTTCGTTCATTTGGGTATAGACTTTATACTGTCTGACAATGTGGCGGCGCCTTGCTTAAACAAAGCAATTCTTTGTGTCTTCGACAGATCAGCTTTTTTTTAAAAAAAGATAGCTTTAATTATGTCCGAAGCCTTTGCGACTATCTCGTTCCATTGCTACATGATCGATTGTTAGTTTTTGGTTGGAATATTGCTTTTTTTTGCTTCAGTGAAGTTGGTGACTCTAATGTACTCGAATCATCGCCGGCTGCGTCAGACGTATCACAGGTCAGTAGATTTGTCACCGCTTACTGTGCTCAGCAAACTCCTACTACCGATTATACAAACAAATCTGAATGCGGTATCTGCCACCATTTATCTATAACTGCGTAACTCGAAGTCATTTCCCCTATATTAGCATATTAGCATAGGCAGCTGATGTATATACTACAGTGGGTCTGATCATTTTCAGACGCATCAGGCCAGTGATCACCAGTGTTTGCGTGAGTCGGCGTTTCATCAGCATAGCACCAATAAAGTAGCCGCCGCTCCTCCATCAACGCCCAACGGTTATTGGGACGTTGGGACCTTGGCCATCGTGTCGCCGGAGCCGGGTGTTTCGATGTCAACAGGGCAGTTAGCAGCACGTAGGCTGCGTCGTAGGCGCCCTCTCGAGTTCCCTAAGCCCCCCACCCAGTCTTGACATCGCAAACGTGTCGTCCAGGTCTTACTATGCATTTTAGCTGTTATTTGTAAAATCTTCCCAACTTGTTGGAGTGGACAAACTCTGTAACTTCGCCTTCCCCGCTTTTTCTCTGTCAAGCTTGGGAACTAAATCTATCGCCTCGATACGGATGTCAAATTTGCAGCGTAATAAGATGTGACGCCGACGCTCCCCCGGGTTTTACGCAACTCTATACAAGACCTAATATCTGATGTCGTGTCATTATGACTTATTCAAACTTATGCAGAGGATTTGCAGACTTAGAATAAATTTGCACATTTGTGAACTTTACTGGTACGGCGTCTGGAGGACCGCCTCTACTACCTTAAAATACTTCGAGCTATTCGGCGCTGAAGCTCGTGTCAAATGAGTTTCAGTTACGACCAAAACTTCGAACCGTGGATGGTGGGATGCACCTGTGCTTTGCGGTAATGTTACGACATTTGTGCGCCAGGAATAGTCAGCTGTCATGGGACTTGACGGTGTGGTACGCGGCGTCAGTTGCCCAACTTCAAAGCTACATTGGAAGGTCAAGAAGTTTATTCGGTCAATAGGCATTCAGGAAAAAATGAAGGAATTAAGATATCGGGCGAGGAGGCTCTATCTTTTCATCTTCGATGCGTCAGCAGTGATTCATTGAGTCTTCTGCTGAGGGCGATAGTTAATGTGAACTTGGGGATCGACGACAAGGACTTGGTCTAGAAGCGATTGGATGGCAGCGCCTCTATTTCTCTCTACCGACTCAGCCTGCATATCAAGAGTCTTCTGTGTAACGGCGGCAATTTCAGCCTCTGTATTACTGTGTCGACCAAAAACCTAGATCGGCATCCATTTAAATGGCCATTAAAGTAGTTATCAACAGCAGAAATCGAAGAGGTGATAGATGACAGAATAGGGAAAGAAAAGTGCTTGAATTCGAGGCGGCAGGTTGAAGTTATGATACCTAGGACCAAAGTTTAATAGTATGAATAGAACTTCCTCATGGGATAGTGAGAAGTCTTACAGTATAAAGGAACTCAAGTATTGGAGTACCTCGTCCTCACGCAATTTGTACCGCCTCTCACGCTCCTTCTTCTCAATTCCGATTTCCGTCGCAGCTTCTGCCTTAGCCTCCTGAAGTCTTTTTACTTTTCCTGAAAGAGGGAAAATGCTCGCAGAAATACAGCACAAAATATTAAAACTCTTGAACAACTAGACCTTCATCGAAATGTACAAAAATCCGACTGACGTAGTGCGCGATTGGTCCAGGAGGAGTGAATTTACATTAGCTTACGTCTCTTGGCCTCAGAAACCTTGTCCGCCGCTTTCTTTTCAGCTTGTAGAAGCAACTGTATACCGTCATTGCGAGCAGCCATGTTGAAAGCTGTGAATATATGTTCAGGTGGGTGCCTTTGCTACAAAAGGG